TAGTTCCTTGTTTTGGTTAATGGTCCGGAAATATGATTGATTTGGTGTAGGTAGTGTATTGAGTACAACTGAAAGTGTATTAGTGTTCAGTGTGCATTGATTTGAGTCAGGTAATCTAACGTGAATCTATGAGAGTTTTTTCTAGCTGATAAGTTAATGTGCGCCACAATGAGCAGCATAACAGAGTCAACGCGGTTAGGAAACTAACTTTTCTTGCCAAATAGCAATTTATTCACTGGGTAGTTGCTACCCATCCTTCAGTCAACTGAAAGCTCTCTTCTTTTTGTCTGAATTTTAAAACAAAATAAAATGAGATGGGCACTAGCCTGTATCTTCTGTAGTATCTTCTTTAACAACAGTCCATCGTCTCTTCACTTACATTGTTTTTTTGTTTAGCCACGGCAGAGCCTGGGGATGAGGAATCGGTGACAAGAGCTAAATATTTTATTCGTGATGAATTCCTTGTAAGTACTGCTTGGATTCTCATTTAAAGGGAGCCACGTTGATGTCTTTATTTCCTAATTGTAGGACAGCCTTCAAAGTGATATAAAAGATTGCACGAGTTTCTCTGTTGGCATTATGATTACGTAAAGATCACATTTAGCTCTCTACTTCTGATAGATATCAGCCTCTATCCGTTCGAGGAATTAACCGCTTGGGAAACAACTCCAATATTCCATTTTAGAAATTTCCTCTCCCCCCCCCAACCCTCTACCTTCGCCGCATGTCATATTGCCTTGGGATTTCATGTAACAGTTCTCTTTTGTCTCATCTAGCGGATCAGCACAGCCAGCGGAGATGGTAAACATTACTGTTATCCACACTTTACATGCGCAGTAGACACGGAGAATATTCGACGGGTGTTCAACGACTGCCGCGACATAATCCAGCGGATGCATCTCCGCCAGTATGAGCTTCTGTGATGGGTTCCCTCTTCTCCTTCCCCAACTTTTCATCCAGCTTTCTGAACAGCCCTGACCAAGGCCGCTTGCCATGTGCTGTGCTATTATAGCACACAAACATTCAGCTGTTTTATTCCGATATGGGACGGGGAATGCAGTGGGGCGTCGGCTTCAATGTCTACTCCAAACATACCAGCGATGAAATTATGTCAGAAACCAGCCTTGTAAAGTAGTGTACAAAAAAAAATTTAATGCAGTGGAATAATGTAGCGTTTAGTTTTCTGTGGCTTTTCACAGGACTTTGTCTGTCAGCTGTATCGTTCTGTGCCGAGAAAAGGAGAATTTCGTTGGGGGTGGGGGACGGGGGATTTAGCGCGTGGTGTCTGTCCACATAGCGTTCTTTGGTTCTTAGTCCTCTTTGAAACTCGAAAACTTATCCTAGAAGATGAATTTCTTATCGCACGTTCC